GGGTGTATCCATGCCGGGTATGGTCCTCTCCTAGCAGACCAGGTGGGAAGGTAAAATACTGTCCTGACGGGGGAGCATCGCGAGTCATCTCGGTGTCATCTTCTCGCACCTCTTCGGCCGAGTTCGCCACCAATGACGGCGGTGGCGGGACTGGAGGCGGGGGTGTCTGGCTGAGCATGAGACCCTGGATGCAGAAATGCAACTCATCCTTCAGCGAGTCTACTATCTCCATCTTCAGTCTTTCTAAGTCACTCCTTGTCACCGCCTTGGAGGCGGAGGAGGCGGGGGCTTCCACGGGGGCCGCGCTGGGTGAGCCGTTCTCGTTGCCCGGCGAGGCCAACACGGTCAGGCGCACGGGGCTGGTCGGGTATTGCGGCGTGGGGGCGAACAGCTCGCCGCTGCGCTGACGGCGATGCGTTGAGGCGCTGTCCACGCTACTGTCCCGCTGGCTTACGGTACTGGCTCGGCTGCTAGTACGAGGTGGGCAGGCCGGGGTTTGCGCAGCCGGCAAGGTAGTGCTAGTATTGGTCACGAAGTTGATAATCTCCTGCTTGATGCTCTTCATGTTAGCGTGTTCACGGGCCTCTTCACGTTTACGATCCTCACGCAACTCATACCTACAAGGAGAGGACACGAAATGTTGAACACGACCGGTCAGTATATAAAGGCAAAGGTAACAAAACCGAGGAAACGGAGTAACGTGTCGACCCTCCACTGGATTCAAATCAATCCCCAGACTGAAATGAAATTCCAGTGCACCTGAGACTGGAGATATCCTGCTTGATCTCGTTCAGGTCATCCTCATTGACCCCGTCGGCTTTCCGGTTGGCTTTGGTCATTTGGATGTAGCGGCTGACCAGCCGTTTCATCACGTCCTGGTAGCGGGTCTCGGCCGTCTGCGCTTTAGCTCCGAGGTTCCCATCACCGACCTGGTGGCGGAAAGAGCAGCAACATTGAGAGAAATTAATATAAAAAGGTTTGCATGCGGTATTCACATCCTCCATCCGTACACAGAATTTTCTGATATTTGAGTGCCCGCTGAACATGCGTACTTTCCAGAGCCGAGAGATTTTTGTATTCACGAAGCAGCGGCAAAGTACACTGTGCTTTCACTCAGTACAGTTTCGTTTTTACTAAGTGTTTAAAGCACGCATCGTCAGTATAAAAATTTTAAGTAAAGTTTTCTGCAATCACACAAGAATACGGATCAATTACGTTTCTGTCAAACGCTTTATAACACTTTTTACTTCAGATTGTATATTTCCGTTACAGTGTTGTGACACAACTTCGTGAAAACGAAACTCGTTCGCGTCAGTGTACGATGTGCGCGCGCACACTTGGTTGATACTTCGTCAAACCACAACTTTTCAAGAAGCAGTGTTCATTAATTAAGTAGAATTGTAGTGGACTTGGGTGCTAAACTTTTTGGTACGGTGACAACGTAAATAATATTCAACCATAAATTTTGTCTGCCCTGTACTCTACCCCCATTTTACTTCAGTTTACCCGCAGTGTGACGTCCAAGGAATGCCTCTTCCGCGGCTTGTAGTTAGCCTCGAGTGACCTCCGGTACCCGCAGAGTAGTCTCCGCACTCCAGAGAAAAAGTAATAGATGGACTTGGGACTGATGATGAGGTTGAAGGGAGGAGGTAGCGTGGAGCCCTCGTCGAAGTAGCTTATCCAAAGCTTGGAGCGGGCAAATTTCCACTCCCTGTCTGCGTGATCCTAAGCCATAATAGACATAATTTACTCCATTAATTTGTAATTAACTACAAACAAAAGCCGGTTAGTGGCATTAAGAATACATTTCATAAAGTGATGACGCATGTTTTTCGAAGCCCGTTTTCAAGAAATATAGGTTTTCCAAAGTTAGTTTGTTCGAGACACTATTCTCCACTTCATTCTTACGAGACCAGTACTGTATCTACATGGAAACAAATAGTTATTGCGAGATATATTTTCCAAGTTGGTTTTTATGAGGTATATAAATATATATAAGTATTGAAGTTCATTTCTACGAGTTATATGTTTGAAGTTCGTTTTCATGAGATATAAAATCAAACATGCACATATATAATCTCTTTAAACTTTACTTGGTAAAAATGTATCTGTAACAACGAACCTGATCAAAACAATGTCCCCAAAAGATTTGTTTCTAATATAAAACAATATTGCTCAAAATCGATCTCATAAGCACGAATTGGCAAATCGTTATCTCATACGAACGAACTATGGAAAAAGATATATCCCGTAAAAACAAATATGCTGCATAAAAATGAACTTCGAAAAAAAATATACTTCGCTTTATGACAAAATATGCTTGAGGGCGCTAGTGCTTTCGTAATTAACACTTCTGTTTCGTTTACTTCAAAACTTGTGATTCCGTCATTCAACCAAGAAATCGAGAATCTGAATTTAGGATAAACTATGGATGACAGACTGCATTCAGTCAAATATTGGATGAAGTAAGCCATACTCTGATCATAACTTTTAAAAAAATACTAAGGACCTTGTACACCTAGCTTAATCGTGGTCAAATAATGAAGAGATATGAAGCTTTCACCACTGTACCATTTCTGCGTTGGGTGTGAACAAAAGTGAAAGAATCAAAATATTACAACTCACGTGCGTTTTGATTGGAGTCTGGACCACCAAGCATAAACATCCCAAAAGGACTCTGAGGATTTACCTGGATTGTTTGGAAAGAATTGCTCATCATGGCAATGAGCATGTTCAACAAGACGATGATAGCGATGATGTGGTAGCACAGCAGTAGCAGCTCGCCGACTGTCTCCACAGAGCGGTGAGGCCAGTTCTCTAGCTTCACCGCGTCTTTTCCCGTCAGACCAAACAGCGCCCACAGTAGGCTCAGAAAGGCCTGGTCCATCCTGTCGGACAAATCAAAGAAAATAGATTACAGTTACACCTGTTGTTGTTGTCCCCCTCTAAATCTCGATGCTTCATCAACGTCAAGTTTAATTTCTGAAAAGAGGCCATCTTCTAGCAGCAAATTGTGCAGCTCGACAAGTGGAGCTCGAGACAAAGGCGACATCGGTAACTAAGCCAATTTTTTGGGGGAAAAGGCCGAGGTGAAGTGCTGTGCCGAGACCCCAACTGGACGAAAGGTTGGAGGTTGGGACTTCGGCTCTCTATTACATAAAGAAAGATCAATTCAACTTACTGTGAGAAGTCATTACCAGTACAGTTCTTGTTAACGGCATTGCAGGAAGCGGTAGAACTTCCATAGTACCAGTACAACTGGTTCATGCCGCAAGCGAAGGACAGTAAGACCAGAAAGAAGATTAAGAAGAACTTTGCAATGTCGATGAGCATGCAGCCCAGCGAAATCTGCAGCGGACCCAGGTAGGGGTTGGCCTGGAACAGGTAGATGATGCGGGCGAAGCTGAAGACGTTAGCCATGGCGAACAGGCATTCTGAGATGAGCATGGGATCCTCGGAGGGCCACTCTTCCCGACTGACATCCCCGTAGCCTTCATGGGTGGCGGCTCTGGCCATGGCGGTAAAACGCAGGCTAAAGGTACAGAGGTACAGCGTCAGCATGATGAAATCCAGCCAGTTCCACCATTGGCGTATGTAAGCCTTTAGGCCTTCCTCCCATAGCTGTTTGCATTCGCCCCATATCATGCCTAAAATGAGCAAAATTCATGGTACAAAGAGAGAAAACTCACGTTGNAACACTGAGGCAAGCAATGTGTGGTGAGTGGCCTAAAGGGTAAAATTTTGAACACACTTTTGTTGTGATTATTATATTACGAATATGCCTGCAGTGCAGGTTTTCTCAGTGATTTCAATCTACTTTTTCCTCGAATCTCTGTTTACCTTTGCGCATGATTCTCCCCGAACGTTCTTTGCATGCTTTAACTGCGATGCGAAGAAAAGTTTCCATATCCTTTAGAATAGATGAAAACATTGCAGAAGTCACTTATGTGCCACGTCCTGCGCGAACATTTTGCGCGTTCGTATGCTTGTTTCTTTTTCGGCCGCTAGGTCGAGTGTGCTTGTCGACATGAAAAGAGGAAAATGCTCATCAAGTGGCTACGTGAAATCAATTTTAAAAAATGACAATAACGTAAAATGGAGTGACACCTTCGGTGTCAATGTCGCTGTGTGCTGAAGCAGAGTAAACGGTGTGTGTTGCTCATTCACCTGCCCCGTCCGCCTTGAGCCGACGAACACCCTCATCGGTCGAGTAGAGGGTCTGTGTAGGTTTTATTCTTTCTTTTTTTTATTTAAAAACGAAACCTGACAACTGAAAAACAATAAATCAGTTCGTCACCGTCACTACGAAGTGTCACTAATGTCGCTTTTGAGGAAAACTAGGTTTTCGATATAATCGCCGGAGAAGTTCTTCCTTTTTAAAACTACAAAAATTAGTACTTTGTGACAACTTCATGTAACAAAAATCAATCAGATGATTCTCTGATGTCTAATCGTCCCTTTAACCCGAGTAATTGGTATGAAAACAGGGGTTGATTAGCCAAAAGTAATTAGCAAAGGTGAACGTCACTTCGTGAAAACGAAAACTACGTTTTTGTACATGAACGTCCTTCTGTTCAATGGATAATAATCACAGGGAAGGTGATCGTGTCTTTACGCGCGCAAAACTGTGAATTTAACAAAGCTAACGTCACTTCGTGAAAACGCAAACTGCTGTTTTCAAGATGTTTGACCTTGACAACATTAACGTAACTATGACATCAATGATGTTTTGTATGTGGGAGCAGGTCAGAATGACGATTTTAGAACGATATTCTAAAGGAGAATATTGAAAAAAATGGAAATCGACAAAAATTCATTTTTTTGGACATTAGCGTCACTTCGTGAGAACGGTGACGAACTTTGCGCTCGCAATTTGACAAAAAAAGACTCATATCAATTAAAGAATAAATTCTCGTTGTTTTTTCCGTTTGAAAACGAAAACGTGGAAAAGGGAAAAGAAACAATTTCTTGTTTGTTTTGCATGTCAAAAGGGTAATCAAAAAACAAAAATTATTTCTTTGAAACTTAATTTTTATCCAAATTTCGTCAATTATCGTGCCCGTACTTCGAAATTGGCTGGTTCCCTACCCATATCAATTCACGACGTAATTTTTGTCTAGCATTCATTAGACAGAGTTCATTTGACCAATGGCAAAGGTTAAGCATTCCATTCGCGCGTGCGCGTTGCTAATGCATACGTTTGGAGAGCTTTGTGGACGTTGATTACGACTACAAGAAACGCATAATGCTCATTGCTGTCACGCATTTCCTTTTCAAAATTCGTGAAGCGCAGTTGCCCTTCCCAGCTGGACGCTGGGTGACGGTCGAAATAGATAATAAATATGAGGTATGACGTCAAGGCTGGGAGATGCAGCATCTTTTAAACAGTCCACGCAATATCTGAGATAATCATGCCGAAAAAAGGCAAAGAAAAGCAATTTTATACGATCCCGATTCTTGTGGATAGTATCGCCTGCACACTTCCGATAAGATAGCTGCTGCTTGTTAGATTGTGAGAACTTTCTGTGGGTTGCTTCTCTTCTGTTTACTTTGGAAGCAACAGATTCATCGTACAACCCTCTATTTCAGCCATATTTATTCATTTAATTTAACAGGTGACAATTCTACATAAAGACGTGTCTTATATTGTAACATTAAAAACAGAGTTGTTTTTTATATTCTTGCTGTTTTATGTTTTTAAAAAGTGCATCGATAGATTATGTTATTCGATTTCACATTGAAAAAACGAAACACAAAACGAGTGTTCGCTTTTAAATTTGAAAATGTAAAATGAGATAAAATTTTTTTTATTCAAATGGCAAATCAATAAATATCTGGTTTATCAATTTTTGTTTTACTTTTTCACATTGAAAAACGACTGGTTTTTCAACGTCCGTTTTGCGATCAAACAAGAGTGAAAGAATTGTAGGGCCCACAGTGACCGAAGGGTCCGTCTACATACCATCCAATCAATTACCGTTTGAAAACTGCTTCAAGGAAACACAAAGCGTTTTTGTTTTCGGAGAAAAAGCGTTGGTAAACAGTAAAGAATTTTTTGTTAATTTTTATTGATTCAAAAACAGACAACAGTAAAAGGATAGTTTTCCCCTTTTCGTTGTTTGGATTAAAAAAAGAAAAACAGTAAAGGTTAAGTTCTTCCTTCAATGCGTAGGCCCTTACTAAAAACAGTAAAGACTAACAGGTTAGTTTTTGTTTTTCCTTTATACAATTTTCAAACAGTAAATAACTGGACGGTATGTACACGGACCCCAAGACCTGTGCTGGTGGGGAGTGTTTATTTTGTTTTCATACTCGTTTGTGAAAAAGGCGCCCTCTCTTGGTCCCGCTCGGGGCGGACACACACGTGCCAATCTGTGCTCGCGCGTTTGGGGTGTCCCCGTCTTCTTGGATCGATTGAATCGGTCACTCGGAGTCTTTGCACCTACCTATGACCCAGACGAAGATGAGGGCCTCGACGACGTCCGGCGGCCGGCCCCGTCTCTCGTTGGACCCGGCCACCTTAGCTGATAGCAGCACCAGCAACGCCAGGAAAATGACGAAGGAGGAGCTGTGGTGCATGAACTTCATAAAGGGAGAGCGCATCATCTGACCCAAGCGCGTCTTAGGAAAGAACAAGTAGGCCAAGGCATCGATAGGCATCATAAACAGGACGGCAACGCAGAGCAGGATTTTGATGAGGACATTGCTGCCCCGCCAGCCCGGTAAACCCTCGTACCAGATGGACGACAATACCTGCTGAGTGTTTGGATGGGCCACGAACTGTGTACAAGAAAAAACATCAATAATCATAATGACGGGACATTTTTAGCTCCGTGTTTACTTAGTTTCTTAGTCCTTTTTACCACTATTTCGCCAATTTTGAAGTATATTTTTTATGTCTGGATGTTCCTTAATCATTTTGATTGAAGTGGTCTTGCGGACTCGTGCATTTTTATCGTCATTTCGCCGATTTTATTCATTTTGTATTTCCCGCGGTTTTGAAGTCAGACGGCAGCCATCTTTAAATGAGCGGCCATCTTTTTAACTCTCGTGTTTTGCTGCAAAATTTGGATTTTACTTCGTGAATTTTGTTTCATTTGGTTTGGTATATTTTAACAGACTTTAAACTCAACTAGTATCGCCGTTGTGTGTATTCTTATCACCTCATTTTTATCGGGATTAGGCCTACTACTTATTTGGACTTCCCCAAATTTCGAGCAATCAACATGGCATCTGAGCAACACAAAACACTGCAGATCACTGTTATACTGCCGATACTGTGCCAGATTCTTATGAATAAGCCATCACCAGAAATACTGGACTTGATATTTTTGAGCACTGGATGGCACCCCTTGAACATACCCAAGGCCATAAACTAGGCCTACATGTTCATTGAAGACCGGGTGATTTTGCTCCACATTGCTATAGGTTTGCAGTCATCCAGCAGACCTGCAGCTATGAATGGGAGACTTCCGGCTAAAGTTAACTTTAAACTGACGTCTCATAAAAACCTGCAAGTTACTAATCCTTGTGCTAGCTGGAGAGGTAGCAGTGAATCCAGGCTCATGCCGACCCAATTATCCACGCGTGGTATGTGATAAGGCAGGTAAGTACGGCCAACAGCCAACAGAATGCAAGGGATGTGTCTCGTGGTTTCACAGAAACTGCATTGGCATAAATGAATACATCTATAATGTACTCACTGAGCATCCAACATACAAATGGGAAGGCTGCAACTGTGGTCTTCCGAACTTCGACTCTTCATATTTCAGTAATTCAAGCATCAATTTGTCAAACAGTTCTGATGATCTCAGCTTATTTGTGAAGTCTGATGTTGTTTTCAATTTGGTTTCACCTACACTGAGGACATCCAGTCCCATCCTAGAGCGTAATTTCAATGAAGCTAGCAGTAATTTGGGGCTACTGCAAAGCCCAAGAAGACGAATAAAAGACAAGAAACATGGAAAATTCTTAGCTTCAACTGCCAGCCCATCAGGGCAAAGAAAGATAGATTTCCGGCTTTTATAGAGCAGGAGAACCCAGACGTGATAATCGGTATAGAATCGTGGTAAGTAGAGACACTGCCGCTGAGGAAATTTCCCTAGATTTTACCAAGTGTTTAGGAAAGATAGATAAGGGGATTTTCATGGGGGAGTTTTTATCGCCATTAAGAATACGTATATTGACACTGAAGAAAAAGACCTCGACACAAACTGCGAGGTGCTTTGGGTTAGTATTCATATCAAGGGGTTGAAACTGACATACATTGGAGCAATCTATCGCCCTCCATCTTCAGGATAGGAACACTTGAAAGAACTGGAAAAGTCCCTATCCAGAATCCCGAAGACAGCTTCTGTATGGTTACTGGGAGATTTTAACCTCCCTGATATGGACTGGACTGCCATTTCCTAACGTACCGGAGGAAGAAATTCAACATGCAGCAAGATAATGTTGGACTTCGCAAGTGATTTTTACCTTACCCAAACAGTTGACAAATCTACCAAAGATAGAAACATCCTTGACCTGTGTTTTGTTAGTCATCCCTCCTTTGTAGAAAGTTGTGATGTAACAGCAGGAATAAGTGACCATGATGCTGTTATTGTTCAAGCTGACATATCGGCTTAAGTAACTAGACCGCCAAAAAGGAAGATCTTCTTCTACAAAAATGCAGACTTTGTTGGGATAGATGAACTCATATCAGCATTTGACGCGAAGTTAACAGAAGACCATGTAGTATCAACAGATATAAATACATTATGGCTAGATTTCAAACAGGTACTTGTCAAGACTATGGATCGTTTTATTCCTTCAAAAATGAGTTCCACTTGACACAATCTGCCATGGTTAAACTCTTCAGTTAGGTGTGCAATAAGGAAAAAAACAGAGACTCTATAATCGGGCAAGGAAATCTTGGTCAGCTTCTGCTTGAGTAGACTTCAAGAAACTACCGCGGTCAATTGATAGACAAGTCAAGAAAGCACACCAAGAATACATCCATGATGTGACAGGGGAGAGCCTAAAATCGGAAGACACAAAGCCCTTCTAGAATTATATCAATAAAATGGACCAAGAAGTGTTTGGAATCTCAAGCCTAACATCGATGGGACGCACAGTATCTTCAGCAGTGGACAAGGCTAAAGTGTCAAACGAGCAGTTCTGCTCAGTTTACACCAAAGAAAATCTTAGCGACCCTCCACCACTGAATTCAAAACTAATTGCAAAAATTGCAGCTCTCACGATAACTACAAACGAGGTTAGAAAACTACTGAAAGAAATAAAACCAAAGAAAGCGTCGGGACCTGACCAGATACCAGCAAGGATTCTAAAGAGTTCTTCAGCAAGCTAAGCTCCAGTCTTTCGAAAGACTTTCCAGAAGTCTATTGACAGCGGGGAACTCCCGGAAGTCTGGTCGAACGCCAAAATAGTTCCCATATCCAAAAAAAGGCGACAGAGCAAATCCAGCAAACTATCGCCCAATCTCACTGACTTCCATTCCATGCAAGATTCTTGATCATATAATCCACCAGCGCATCAGGGACCACATCGACTCTCGCAAAGTACTTACAAATCACCAACATGGTTTCAGACTCGGTCGATCATGTGATACACCACTGGCTGGACTTATCGATGATCTTTCCAAGTCACTTGACAACAAAAGCCAGACTGACTTGATCATACTAGACTTCAGTGAAGCCCTCAGAAGCGACTATTGTACAAGCTCAGACATATTGGAGTACACAGCAGCCACCTGAAGTGGTTTGAGATCTTCCTGACAAGAAGAAACCAACGAATCTTGCAGGAGGGCGAGACGTCAGACGAAACTTCAGTGTCCTCAGGTGTACCCCAGGGGACTGTGATGGGTCCCTTGCTTTTCATGTTGTACATCAATGACATGCCAAACGTAGCTTTGTCTAGAGTCCGCCTTTTTGCAGACGACGCTATGATTTATAGAGAGATAAAAACACCAGAAGACAGTTCATCTCTTCAAAAAGATCTAGACACTCTCTGTGATTGGGGCATTCGTGGAAGATGTCTTTCAGTACAACCAAGTGTCATACCATGCACAAGACTAAACCATTCTTCTCGACATACAAAATGGGTATCATACTCTGCTTGCAGTCAACCATCATCCATATCTGGGAGTTGAACTAAGCAAAGATTTAAGCTGGGCAAGGCATATTAACCAAGTGTCTAGCAAAGCAACCAGAACGCTTGGTCCTCTCAAAAGAAATCTCCATGCTTGTTGTAAATCGGTCAAAGAGGATGCCTACAAGGCCCTTGTCAGACCCAAACTTGAATATTGTGGGGCTATATGGGATCCTTTTCACAATAACAACAAGATCACCCTGGAGAAAGTACAACGTAGGGTAGCCCGCTTCGTTTGTCATGACTACAAACAGATCTCGAGCGTCCAATGATGTCTTCTTTAAAATGGGACACTCTGGAGCTCCGCAGAAATCGACTTCGACTCACTGCAATTTACAAGGAAATCCACAATATTACGCCATCAAATCTGCCAGCACCTGGTGGAACCAATACCTACGCAACAAGACAGAACACTGGTCCCTACAGCATTAATCCCCAAACTTCAACAAACTTTGTTACCAATACTATCTCTTTCCAAGGACAATAAGGGAATGGAACCTGCTACCACCTAGCATACGATCTGCTCCTGATGTCAAGACATTTAAAAGTAGGATTGAACATTTGGACCTCCTCAACCTTGTACAAAAAGCTCACTTTAAAATTTAGCCACTATGTCCCTCACTCCGACCTGCGCGTGATAACCACTGAGGAGGTGTTTGCGCAGTATAGAACCAGAACCAGAACTGGTAAGGGCCCCAGACATACCAGGTAGAGTTCACTATTCAAGTTCTTCAAACCAAGGTAATAATCAATCATTAGAATCTCAGGACATGTTTAGAAATTCCTGGTTGCTTGCAAGATCTGTTCTCTTCCCTGGAGTAATGATCGTCTTGGTTGCAAAACGGTAGCGTGATGTTTCATGGTGCATGGTCATAAGACACAAGGGATTCACTGCACGTATACAGGGCACCCGCTTCGATGAATGGCTGTACATGTGTACAGTCTGATGACTGCGTGCGCTGAAACCTCGCGCTGCTGAAGACGTCTTGCAACCAAGACGAGATATAATAAATCCAAGGGATATCATTTGATTCACTGAAGGGATCCTGTACCTTACCTGCTTCTGTTCGTATTTNAAGGGCAAGGCGAAGTCTGGCTAAGGAAAGTCGTCCACCATTGATGTCGTCATCCAAGATTTCGTCATCCGACTCGCTCTCTTTATTCAGCACGGCGTTCACCTCCTCAGAGCTCCGGCACTGCTCCAGCAGGTCCACGCTAAAGGTCTTGGTCTGCTCGTTCAGCTGCATGTACATGTCCTTGAACTCATTTTCCCGCATAGCCAGGTGCTGGAGCTCCCAACTTAGCTTGAAGGCCGTCAGGATTGGATCGCTGCTGGTCAGAGATATCCAGGCCGGACTGGCCAGAGCCTTAAAGGTGTTGATCCGATGCAGGGAGTAGCGCAGGCTGTCCTCCAGCTGCTTCTCTGTACAGGTGTCGCACTTACAGATGCAAGGGTGAGGCTTGGAGATGGTGGCGCCCCGGGTCAGCAGCAGCTGCAGGATCTCGAACTGGTTGCAGTGGGCGGCCAGGATGACGGGCGAGATGTCGTAAGAGTAATCCGAGCTCTCCTGGCCCTTTTTGAAATGGGCGCTGCTCCAGCCCTCCCCGAGCATGTTGCGGGTGATGCTGGGATGGTTGACCATCATTTCCACCATCTTGTACACGCCCTCGCGTATGGCGTACAGCAGGGCGTCCCCGATCTCCACCTTGTCCTGCTTGAGGAGGAGCTCCACGATCTCCACATTCTCGTTGTCCACCGCCATCTGAAGGGCACTGCGGCCAAGGATGTTGGTCACATTGACGTTGACCGAGTTCGGGGGCAGAACGCAGCGCTCCACGGTGGCCTTGTCGCCGCGCTCGGCAGCCTCCAGAAATTGCCGCTCCTTGGCCGTCAGGCGGTTGCCCTCGCTGAACAGCTGCAGCGGGATGCTACTGACGCCGGAGATGAGGGACGAGGCCCGGTCGGCGTCCGGCACGGTTGGAACTGGCTGGTGGACGTCCGGGGTGAACCCGAGATTTGTCTGTCCCATCGAGGGCTTGAAACTACCAGCAACAGTGCCATCTCTCACTGGATAGGGAGGAGGTGGGTTTGGGTTTGGGTGCGGAGGTGTCGTGCTCCTTGAGGACCTCATATTGGTGCGATGCTGCCTCTCCTTGTTAATAGTCTTTTTGCAATCTGCACAAAGAGTCAAAATGAAAATTCTTAAAATCAACACAGAGGAACACTTACATTGAGAGTTACCCTGCAAATAGGAAAAGAGACTTCGGTGTGTTTTATAGACAAATGCTACAAAAATCTACCATCTTTATGACCAAAGAATACCGACTAGCCCTCTTACTTAATCATATCTTGGTAGCTGGCCATGCAGGCCAGTATAGACGGTAAATTCTGTCTCCCGTCAAAATAATATGGGGGACAGAATTACCCAGGTGAAAGTATCCCCTAGGCCCTTTATTTCTGTCTCTCTCCAGGTTATCCTATCCCCGAGCTCCAGGCAAATTTATCCCCCTTGCTTCTGCCATGCAGAAGTTATTTTCATTTTTATTGTGATGAATTCAGTCTACAGGAAATACGTTGTAGACTTTACTTCCCGTTAGCAAGCTAATCGAGCTATGTTTCTCCATGAAATGGAGAGGGCAGCAATCGGTTTTGTGCAGGCTTCATGATTTGCGCGCGCAGCAGTTCCACAGTGCCAAACTCTATGCGCACGGTAGAGGTACGCTTGTGCTGCAACTATGGCTAGGTGCCCATGGTCGAAAGAGCTGTAATTCCGTGTATGCTCAATTTCAGGAGTATAAATTCAGAAAAGAATTTTCAAGCGCGAACGATTTCATCACTAAAATGGATACGGCCGCAGATACTGGGGAAGGGGGTTTGGGGGTCAACCCCCCACTTAAGGAACCAGCAAGAGGTTGGTAATATTTTAGGCTAGAATCATAAAGCCATATTAATTGTCATAGCTCTATGGGCTAGTACATGAACTTTGCGTCAGTGTAAATTGGATGTGCGCCAAGGCATCAAAAGCGCTTAAATTCCAGATTCTAGTGCCCAGGTAGTGTATCACACAAATTACTGTCTGGAGATACGCAAGTACTTTCCTATGGGAAAATGGTTCTTCTTAAGAGGAGACTAGTCTTCATGCCTCGTAGAAGCATCTCCTGTTGAAATGTCGGGCTTTACTTTCGTTTGACAAAAGAAATCCCCAAGAGCCACGATTATAGCCCTTATTCAAATCGGATTTCGCCTGTGTTAGTTTATAAAAAAAAAATCGTTGCCCGGTTAAAATTAAAGGTGCTGGCACTCGAAAATTTTGACTGGTTACAGCGCCCTCACATGATGAGAACAGTGAACAGCAACTGGATCTAGGAAAACTAAAAAGCGTTCCTTTGAATATACTGAATTGCTTGTTGAAAACTATAGCTATAGGTTGAATTAAAACAGTTCAATTATTAACACAACCTGAAAAGTTTCTTTCTTATTTTACATTTTAGACCGAGGTGTGGTATGAAACACACATCATGGGCAGGCGTGGCATACATGGCGTGGACCTCTGCACAAAAGAAGTCCACATAATGTAGGGTGCAATGGCGTTGTGTGGACTTGCACACGTCCACACAATGTTTCCCCCTCTCTGAAAAACAGCTTTAGAGGCATTTTGGGGTCAAGGTTACCTGTGGCAAGATGAAGAGGAACACTACAGGAAATAATAATCAAAAATCCAGCTCGAAATTAAGGAGTTACCCTAGTGGGAGAAAAAGGAGCATTTACCTTAACCACAGGAGAACAAAGGAATGTCCACATTTGTATGTTAAACAGGTATGGGTGTGTTGGGGGGGGGAGTGGAGACAGAAGATACCAGTACACTGGCAGTCTGTCCACTGTCTGATGAAAATCTATTCATGTACCGAATTTGTACAAGGGAGGCTACTTCAGTCTCTTCACTGGAAAAAATGGAGTATGTATGAAGAACCATGTTGACATCAGATCAAAATTAAAGCCCCAAATAAAATAATACAAGAAACACTGACAAGTTAAAGATTCAATGATATATTTGGTACATTAACGCTGACTTTAGCGCTGGAAGAAAAAAATGTCTTCCATTGCCAGCATACGCGTTTAACGTCATAAATTTGCAAAAAAAGTTATTGATATCTTGTATGTGTTTTCCATTTGCACTGAGGTGCCCTTGGCATTTTCCGTGCATTTTTACTCGCTTCCTGTGATGCGGTGTCGCAGAGGCAGTGATGATAACCGGTCCAGTCCGCACTGCGCAGATGCACAGTCTGCAATGGTCCGCGGCCTGCGCCGCCTGAGCTCAGCGCGCCAAATACTGCTCGCGGCCCTTCGTTTGTTTGGGCTTGTATTTATAAAAACCTTGCATATTATTATGGCAGTAAAGTTAGCTTGACATTGGACATTCCCACGGGTTTGTACAGCGAATGTCTGATTTTTCTTGACATTCCCTGAACAATCCAATGGGAATGTCCCATGTCCAATATCAAACTAACTTAACTGTCATTGCATAATTTTGTCGTCCAGTACCAGCGTGTGGGTTACATTGTGCGGATTGCTCTTAGCTGCTGACGTGAACTGGCAGGGTGCAAGTACCGTCAATGCCACTGAAATGAGCAGTGTTCAAACGGCTGGTACAACGACCACGCACGCCTGCTCTAAATCGCACGGCATCATCCCGTTTCTCTCTTTCAATGTAAGCTTGCCTTAATGAAGCAGAAGATGCGTACAGGACAATATAAGATTCTGAATTGCCATGTTAATTTTGATTGGGAAAATCTTTGTTGTCTATCTCTACTAATTCATTTCAACCTGCAGCAAGTGCCTATTAATGAAGGTCCAGAGTTCAATTGGTCTTCACTAAACTACACAATAACAGGGAAAGAAATCATGAATCACTACCGGCATCAGTTTTAGAAATGGTGGTGGTAATTTTATGATTTCAAATAAACGCTGGGGGGGGGGCTTTCTTCAGGATATAAGAGTTTTGTTCCGGCTGTTGAAAACAAATAACACTCTCCATGTTGATGGATTGCGAAGCCGAACCCATCAACTCCAAACGTTGAGCTACACTCCTTTCCGCTCAACCTCGTTAAGTCTAGTCGACAATGGGTAATAATACTGCGGCAATGGTGGATATCAACTAAACGTGCATAAATAAAAGAATTCACATGGGATCGAGGAACAATTATTTAGTTGCCATGGTGATGAGGCCATTTCTTAAAATGCCGGATACCATGGTTAATCTTTCCCATTATGTCTCAGTGGGATGTGTTTAAAATCAATCCTTTTGAGGATAAAAAATTAATTGGAAAATGACAATATTCCATTCATCCCAAGAACAAGCAATAGGCCTCACCAAATATAGCAAGAGCAGCATGTTGAAACGATGCCAAACCAGTGAACGACAGCCTTTATGCTAATGATGTGGTGGTCGTTCCCGCGTTAAATGACGGTCTAGGATGGCTTCATACTCCGGGGAATTGGGCTGGTCGATCGATAAAAGGATGATGATGATTACGACAGTGGAGGAGATATATTAGAAAATGAACGGAGAGGGACTGCATCAGGAATATGGAGGTATGCTTTCTTGATGCAAGTTGGAGTAATGTGGAAGGGAATTTACTGAACAGAACGCGTTTAAATACAAAATTGTACTGTTGCAGATTATAACTAAAAGATTTGCCTCAAATGAAATCAAGTTTTTGTGTTTCGCCTTTTCCACATGCAGTAAAATTAGATTCTACCCCTAATTTTTATCTCTTGAGCCTCTAAGAACCTTGCCCTTGTGATATGTATACAGATCCACGTAGCGACACAAGGGACGGCAACTGGCGTCAGGGAAGCCTGAGGTCACTGATATTGGGTTGAGCGCCACGACATTATTTTGCTTAATTTGCTCCTCGATGTAGGACTTTTCAGGGAAAATGCGTAGAAAACAGCCTCCATCCCAGTCTAGAAAGCACGTGCAAAGATCCCACGCAGACGAAGACTCGTGTGGAGGAATAGAAAATGTGATCAAGAGATTAGCCAAATAGTTTCAACAGTGAGACCCTTTTTTTTCAAATAAACAATTTTAACCTACAACACCTGGTTAATTCAATTATTCAAAACACGACACTGACGGATTAGCTATTGAAAAGCCTAGCAAATGACGTCAAGTACCCCGTAAAAGGACTCACAATAATACATGTACAATACTTCGCAAAGGGTGTGTATACAGTTCCTCTACGCACACAACGTTGAGGCGCGTTTGCGATTGCACATGCTGTGAAATCTGCATTATGCATGAGATTGACAACAATGGTGAGTCACAAAGATGACTTTTAAGTATTCCGGCCCTTAAAATAATCCCCATTTCGTCACCTGGTGCATAATCCGATCGAGTTCATTATTCAGTATGGTGTCGACCCCTGACAGCAACGAATGTTGCTCCTGCAGGCATGAAGTGTGAAACGATGACGTAGGCGAAATTGCAAGAAACCGAAGGGGCTTAATCGTATGTATCATCATCCTTGAAGTGTATAGCACAGGATATCGATTACAAAAATGAAACAAAGAAACAACACACATTCGCCTTGTTGTGAAGACGCCAATGAAATGACAGCGCTCAAGACGGAGTTGTGTTTGTACACTGATTTGAAGCATGGTTTATCTCGTTGAATTTCGACCCCAGCGAAGTCGGTAACGTGAATTACGTGACTGAAACACAGTTGTTTGAATATCAAGAGTGAAGGACCATCCTCCATGGAAGGACGGGGGAAAATGTAGGAATATAAACATGACAGCATCATCAAAAAGAGCGCACATATTCATAGTGCCCTTGGGCATTGACATGCTGTAGTGTACCAATTTTCCCCTGTGTTTGAACGCGTTCAACATTGGTATAGGCCATTTCCGTGATGCGACGCCGAACAATCTCGCGAGGTTTGAAACGTTTTGTAATGCTTGAGATACATTACATAAGCGACATCGTGTCAAAGGTCGCCCTTACCTCGAGGTGAATTACTAGTGAATTTCTGAGTGTGTTTGTTTGTCGTCGAGTGGAAAGGGCTCGTATTAGATGTTCCTGAGTGCAAAGCTAGATAATACAGTTGACCATCATCACGATGACCAACATCCGGATGTCAGACATGTGGACTGCCCTGTTAACCCAACCATCA